TGAATGTATCATTTTCAAAACAATAAAAGAGAACACAGTGATCTAAATATGTTAAGTCTTAGCAGTTAAGTAAAATACCCAATCATTAAGTCTTTGTTTTTGAGATTTTCCTTTGTACCCTCAATGTTTTGATGATTTGTTCAATGATGAATATTAATAACCATTGAAATGACATCAAAAGTGTTGAGTGTGTGGTGAGTGTAGTCGGTCTCCTGAGGCTCCTTCTCTGACCCACTTCTCCTTGGCTCAGCTGCACATGAAAAGGCCCCAGCACAATGGAGCGGCCCGTTTTGGAAGCAGCCGCACAATGAGAGGAAAGGAGGCAGAGGGTGTCACTGGAAACACAGCCCGATGGAGACGCACACACACACACACACACACAACACAACGCACACACAAGTCATGTTTACAGCCTTTGTGCGGACATTACATTGACTTATATTCTGCTGTTGTTGTTTGTTGTTGTTAGTTTAGCCACGTAGGATAATCACATCACGTCATTTTTTTGAGGTTTTAGGGAAAATACAAAAACAAACTGAAAGATGACTGCGACAGTTTGTGCTTTTTTGGCTGTAACATGATTTCTGATTCACTTAAAGATGCAGCAGGGTCTGGAGAGTAGAACGAGACCGAAAACTAAATTTGGCCAAAAAATTACTTAGGAAATGACGCTATGTGGTCAGCCATTTAAACCTATAATGATAATTACTAAATCAAGTTACGGGTCGGTAAATCAGGGATAGGGCTGCAACTAACAATTAGCTTAGTAGCTGTGTACTGCTTTGTTTATATTTTATTTTTCATTTTGATTTAATAATGCTGCTGTCTTTGTTATAAAAAGTCTTTTGATGTGCATTTTAGAGTCTGTATAGTTGAGTTAATGATTCCAGTTATCCAAAAATAGAACTTATTTGTAGTCATGATACTAAATTAAATGTTGCAGCCCTACAGATTAAACACTGATTTTTAAGGGTCAATATTTATTGTACACTAACGTTTGTGTGGTAATAGGTAAAATAATTATTATATCAGTAACTCACAATAAATACCAGCAGACTTTTGCACATTGTGATTTTATACACTATTTATTCATTGCAGCTCATGTTTTATGGATACATTTTTTGGAGAAAAAGATTAGTGTAGAGTTAAAATGTTTTAGGGTTTGTTGTTATAAAGAGGTGTTCTGTATAAATGTTAGGGCTCGGTATCATTAAGGAGTTGCCAATACAATTCGTACCTCGATACACAGGCCACGATACGATACATATCTTGATACAGTGCACTTTCGATTCAATACAATATATTTCAAATTGATTTGATACAGTCCAGTAAAAAATAAAGGCTAAATCATGGCTGTGATACTAAGTCTTTGTTAAACCACTTCTTGTGCAAAGTGAATATGAAACACAAACATTTTCATCATCAAAACATTGAAAATGTCAAATGTGCTGTATAAACGAGTTTCTTTCCTCTGAACAAGCAACAAAACTGTAGTTGCAACAAAACTATTTAGTAAAACATACCAAAAAAAATACTCTTGGGGACTGCTCTATCGAAATATTACCAATATAGATACTGTACAATCACATTAAACAATACGATATATCGATATTTCAATATTTTTGCACGCCCCCAATTACAATCTTAAGAATTGATGAAACATTATATTGTACATCAACAATAGTTATTGTGACAGACCTATGCACATTAACTACAGTCACTACAGCCTAACTATTGAAAATCAGATAGTATCTAGTTTCAATACTAGTTTTAGTATTGATTAACTAATTTGAGCAGGTGTCGATACCAAAGTCCCATTCACAGGACAGAAATGAACCTTTCCTTAGTAGCTTTAGAATGATCTTAAGATGTATCAGAAGTATAAGAACACATAGTATAGTAGTGTAGTAGTACTCACTGAGGGATTACACAGATATAAGATCACATGGCAATAAAGAAAGTAAAGTAATTTAATGTTGAAAGTCAGTATTGTCTAAATTTTATTTATTTTTTTTCCTTCAAATAAGATTAAAATTTTAGTATCGTAAAACTAACCCTAACCTTAACTTATTTCAACCCATAACTTTAGGTCATCATGTTGATCTAATAATAGCAGTCAGCTCCCCATCTCGCGAGTACGTACAGATTTTACGTCCTCACAATATGACATAAACCCGTGCACACACACATATGCACTCACACGCACTGGGCTTCCTCCTATTGTGCTCTAGACACTAGAGATTCACTTCAAACAGCTGGCACGGGCACACTGGCACCGGCCGGAGTTCTCCACGGGCTCTGAGCCCCACACATTTACACATCTATTATGTTTCTGTGTTAAAGGGCCTGGATTTGGTTTGTTTCTATGTATCGAGTAAAACGTGTCTTGCCTCAGTACAGATATATCGTGGGACAAGTCTCGTGCGACAAAAATGCCACAAGAGATTCTCTTGACATTTTTTTTTTGTTTAAGTGTTTACATTTGGATTGCACAAAAAAGGGTCACGTGCTGGTGAGTTAAATCTCTTATTCAAAAGAGCGATACTAGAATGGAAACAAAAATATGAAATCAAATAAAGAATATAAATAAATAAATTTGAGGCCAAAACTGAAACGTGAAAGAGATTAGGAATTACCATATTTTTCAGATTATAAATCGCACTTTTTTCCATGTTTGGGTATTTCCTGCAACTTATACTCCGGTGCGACTTAAATATTAAAATTTTCAGACTGACAGCTGCGAGAGGGCGCTCTAGTATTGTCTGTCAGTATCTGATGCTACTATTACTCCTGTACCACTGTCACTTCACTCTACTGCGCATGCCTACTGTATAAAAAGCAGCTGTCTTGCTGTAAATAGTGAAATATGCAGCATAAAACGGTAATGGAGCAGCAGAAAGAAAATTTGGAGTGAGCGAGAGACTTGTGATTGACTGGCGGAAAGCGTGGAGGGAGAGTACAGCTTCACGGGAACCGGGCGGGTGCGCCATGAAACTTTCCTGGAAGTTACTAGATGAATCGACAAAGCCTGAACTTCAATGACACCAAAACCATCCTGTGGGGATTCAGAAAGGCCAGAATAATTCTAACTGGAACTGATGCTGAGTCTGACGACAGAGACACAGGAGAGGAAGCAGCGCTCCGTTTACCTCACAGATCTATGGTTTATCTCCAGAGATTCTCCAGAGTCCAAAAAATACAGCATATTAAAATCTCGTCTTGTCTCGTTCTCATGGACCCAATCTCGTGTCTCGCCTTGTGGAAATTGTGTCTCGTCCCATCCGTGGTAAGCAGCTCTGCAGGTCAAAATCACTCTGTTGGGCACAGTCTGTATCTTCAGAAAGCGTTTTATTGTCTGATAATCAGAAATTGTCAGCTGTTGTTAACTTTACTGTGCTGTCAAAACTCTGCTCTAGTCTTGAAGAGAAAAGTGCTTGTAAGCTGTTCATGGTGAAAAATTAGGGTGCTCAAAATGCATAAGTAAGTGAGGAATAATTTTGGACCGCTGCAAACTGTTTAAAATGAACTAATTTTGTTTTTCATGTTTTTAAAAACTGTAAAATTCAGGTACAACACAGTTCGCTTGCTCTTATAATACACCATACGAGACAACACCAGTAGATAGTCTGGTCACAAGCAGTTTTTACATGATTCTCGATAAAACTTCAAAACAAAAAATTCAATCTGCAATCAGTATAAAAGGTAAAGTCATATTCATCACATCAATCACAAAATAGTCTGCGTTTTTAAATCTAGGCTTTTAACCCTTCTAGACCGACGGTATCGCCTACGATGCCTGGGAATTTTTTATATAACCAACTTTCCAGTGATAAAAAATAGAAACTTTTTTTTCCTCCACAAAAAGCAGAGAAAAGTGGTTTTCTGAGCATATTTCCGGCATTATCCTACATCACATGCTGCGTGATAACGTAGGGAAAACAAGTGCCCAGTAGGAATTTTCCGCTAAACTCATACGCTCCATCCATTTTTTATTGGTTAATTTTTGCCAAAGAGTGTAGTGAGTCAAAATGGTCGATGCTCTGAGCGTCTGTGTTCCTAACAATTGAAAAAGCTGCTCTAAGTGCAGCTATTTCTCAAATAAATGGCAAATTACGCACCTCGGTCTGTGTAATTGCACATCTCTTGCTATTTTTATTTGAAAAGTTTAATTCAGTCCAAATGTCCAAATCCAAATGTAATAAAGTCCATGGAAATGCAGGAAGTGATGTGGCTCTGTGTCCTGGACCTGACACCAGCTGTAAACATGACTGACACAAGGAAAGTCATGAGGCGATTGCACTTTTGTTTTGTTTTGAGGTAATAAGGATATTTTTTGTTTACTTACAGACTTGATATTTTGCACTTTTGTAGCTAAGGTCCTAAATTAAGCATTTTGTATGTCCAAAAAGTCACTTATACATGTTTACTGTGTGTTTTGTATGAAAGAGTGAGTTTGACTATCTGATTTTTTTTTTTTTCTCCTCATTTGAATTTATGGTCCTATCGTTTTTATTACAGTCATATGACACAACTCCAGCAGCAGATTGTGAAAAAACAGGCTGTACTGAAAAAAGGATGTATAACACTTAATTAGGGGGTAAAAGGGAGAGTTTTAATAGCAAAACTAATTAAAAAAAATAAAAATCCAGGCGAGGACAAATGTACTAAAATTGCCCTTAGATCTGGAAGGGTTAACAGTAACGCACTTGTTTACTGTTTGTACTATTGTATGTAATGTATAATAGTTTAATGCTTTTCTATGGCTTTGATTGATGTCACTGGAAAGTACTTATGTCACGCTCAGTGTTGTAAGGGGCTCTAAAAATAAAGGCTGGTTGATTGATTGAAAATAACTCACAATGGAGATGTTATGATTGATGTGTTGAAAAACCGTTGTACACTGGTCACAGTTGCTGGGCCTTTGTGACGGAGGCTTAGTGCATGTTTGCTTTCCTTTTGACAAACCTGTAAAAGAAATAAAAAATAAAAAATAAACTCACCGATTCGTCGAGTGCAAAGCGCAGGCAGCCATGTTCATAGAGCACGAAGAACCTCCTCTGCCACTTCTGCAAACGCACAAGGACCATGATCAGAGTACAATACAAAAATACACAAACAAAACACCCATAGACTGTATGAAGTTCAGCTCCAGTCAAACGAAGCTCAGTGAGGCTGATAGTTATAGAGGTGAATTTTGAGCCGAGTTCCATTTTAGGAATAGGAATTGATTTACGGTCAAAATGTTACTGTTGTTCCAATACCACTTTTTTGCAATCTGATCCTGATACTTGGCCTTGATGTACTCGTCGATACCTATACCAGTCCGATAATAAAGCTATGAAGAAGTACACTAAGGCTATTAAGGCGATTGTGAGTACTAAAATATTAGAGAAATCTATAATGATCTTGATGATAAGTAGTACTGATTTAAGTATTTATACTTTTCTTTATTACTTTCTACTAGGGATGCAACAATATCAAAATCTCTCGGTACGATATTGTCATGATATGCATCTCACAGCACAATATTTATTGCGGTATTTTAGAGAGGCTAATATAATTGTAGATAGGAAACTTTTTTGCTTTTATCTTTATCTTGACAAGATTTTGGTGTGAATTATTTACATCATAATCCCAAGAATTCAAGTAAAAAACATTTCTTCATGTTGTCTGCACCAAAATGAATCATGGGATATGTACCGTATTTTCCGCACTATTAGGCGCTCTGGATTATAAGTCGCACTGTCATTGAATGGTCTATTTTCAAACTTTTTTCACAAATAAAGCGCACCAGACTTTCAATGAAACAACAGTTTGATGGGTGAGTGGTTTTGTTTGTTTGTGGAGTTCACTGTGACTCTGGGCTTTGTTCAGTTGTGGCGTGTAGGGAGGGTGCTGTCTGGGACCAACTGGATTGTCGGCGTGTTCGCAGTGACTCAGTTGTTCAGTTGTGTCTAGAAGTGGCACATTGCACTCGCTTTTTCGGTTCGTTCCTCCGTTCTGTTCCTCGTCGGCGTGGAATGATGAGTGTAGTTGTGGGAGTGTTTCGCTGCATGGTCTCTGTCTGCTCCGTGTGTGTTTGCGTGTGCTGCGGATGCTGCGGCTTTGTAGTTTACTGAAGTCATGCTGGGACACCCGAGTGGATTCGTGTATAGGGCGCTCTGGATTGTGGGGCGCATAGTAGTTTTTTTGATGGGTTGGAGCCTTAAGAGCTATGCGTGTGTGGAAAATACGGTACTTTCTACTAGGGATGTAACGCTATCGTAGGCAATAGGCTGTCATAACTGTAGATAAGATTAAGATTTTAAAATCTTTTCTACAGTGGTGTGAAGTTGGTGTGAACTATTTCCGTCATAATCCCAAGAATTTAAGTAAATAACTTTTCTTCATGTTGTCTGCACAAAAATGAATCATGGGATATGTAGTTTATGTTTATAAGCTATTGCTACTGTAAAACCATGCATTTAAGCAAAGGAACTTGTAATTCGATATACTGTGACAGTCCATGATATTATTGAGAGAGTTTTGATGATACGATATCACGGTATTTGAGTTATTGTTAGATCTCTACTTTCTACCGCAGTGCATGGATAAAAAAAAACTGAGGCCTGTAAAAAGACGCTCATCCTCAGAGCACATGGCTAATTCTGCAGAGTAAACAAAGTCTGAGTTAGTGCTGTTGACGCTGCACTCTCGGTAGCTTTAATTATTTTACCAAGTTGAGTGTCCACACCAAAGGCTAAATGGAGGTATCAAAGAGGTAACACAAATCTCTCTTCTGTCATTATTATCGTGTTTTAGGTGTCTGTCAATAGCCATCGAGGTAAACAGCGGCTGCTTGCATCTATATGTCACCATTCAGGAAAATACACAGCGGTATCGGATTGGTAGTGGTTCAGTCTGAGACCTTGCCGATACCAGTACCTGAAAAATGTGTGGTATCGTATCGGAACAACCCTACAAAATACAGAAATAAAAATACCAGGATCATGTAGAGCAGGTTGATACAAACATTTTTAGACCAAAATGACGAGGATTACAGCTGCAGTTACAGAGAGAGAAGCAACGTTTTTCAATTTAAAGTGAATTGGAGTCAATGGAATACACCCATGCTCACTTCTTATTTGGAACGTGACGGCTAGTGGGTCAGCTATGTTCATACAGTCTGTGGAACACACCTATAGTGCCTGTGTAGTAAAATGATGTCAGTGAATGCATGTAACAGAGAGAGGGAACAGGAAGCTGGCCCGACCACTGCTGCAGGCTGCTTATGTTACTGATGAGCTGTACACAACAGTACATTAAACACGGGCACACTCTGGCCTTTTGGACGCTCACAGTTTACGATGTGTGTCTGTCTTCTATTTTGGTGCAGTCCTGCTCATGCAATACTACTTAAGCACTTAAGTGTTTAGTGATTATACTAAAAGGTGCACTATGTAACTTTCTGATGGGGGGGGGGGTCTGTCACCTGCCTGTCCCCATGGAGATGTAAGGAATGTTCCCCCAGAGTATGTCATTAAACTTAATTAGTTTAAAGTTATTGCTATGATTGCACAGAGAATCATTCAGTGGGGATAAAATGGAACACCCATAGGTAAATCAATGCATGACAGCAAGCAGGAGGCAGGACCCACCACCAGAAAATCTACCACTAGTGTTCCCACTCTTTTTTACTGACATAATTTCAAAACTTTTCTGTGACTTTTTCATGACTTAAAGTGAATTTTCCATGACTTTACAGCACCTACATGTGTACAACTGATTAGACTTTCAGGGCTAAATATGAAATGTTAACCCTTTCCACTCACCTTATGGTTTGGGATTATAGTTTTTTAACATTCAAAATTCTGTCAGTGCATTTATTGTCGTCTCTTTAAAACAAAAGTATGTTCAGAAATAATCAGAATAGCCTAATGAGAACTTAACAGAACACTGTAGTTGCGTGAAAGAGATACTAAAATTCCATGACTGGCCTGCAAAATGATATTTTCAATTTCCATGACTTTTCCAGGATTTCCATGACCGTGGGAACTATGAGTTACATAGTGCATCTTTAAGTCAATGGTATCTATTACAATCTGTTTTGGGCAAAGCTCAGTGAGATGAAAAGCCACAACTGAAAGGTTGTACTGTTGTTGTATCAGGGACCAAGCCCCTTAAGCAAGATGGTTGTTTTTGGATGTAGGGATGCAACTATTTAAAAAAGTGAACAAAGCATAGCACACTATGCATAGTAAAAATTTTAAAAAGCTTTGGACACTGGCCATCTGAGTGTGCTATGCATTTTTTCACTTTGAAGTTGCTGATTCTTGCATTTGCACCTCTGCATGAACTTTGGTGTGTGTTTTCTGTTTCTTTTGACAGGAATGTAAAAATAACAGAAATATCTTAATATGGCATTGTTAAAGGTTTCGCAGTATTATCATGGGCTATCTCAGTATATCAAATGACAAGTCTCTTTACTTAAATGCATGCTTTCTGTGCAGCAATAGTTAAACCAGATATGGTGACATCTGTAGCAGTGTATGTTTGGGCTCAGACACTGCCTGTACACAGTGTTTAACCCAATACACAGTACATGCTTGAATGATGACGGTACATGTCCTTACCCGAGATCTCTGCATAGGGTTGTCGAAGTCTGTTCCCTCGGGGGCCAGGCACAGCCATCCTCCATAAATGGGTTTGGCCTGCGAGAGAAAGAGGAGGTGGGTGAGGCAGTGATTAGAGGAGCGTGGGGGAGGGCTGCAGATACCACTCCAGATGTTCCACTGTGTTTGTGTCCAAACCAGTGCCAGTCTTTAGCAGCTCATTAACTGTGATGACATGCTCCTCTCCCAGCACACTGGGGCCATGTGCAGAGGACATGTGCAGACTGACAGCAACAACAAACAGCTCAGGTGGGACCGGGGCCAGAGGCTTTGTCACTCACAATAGGAAAGTACAGTCTCAGCAGTACGACAGCTAGATCTAGTCTATCTTCACATACTATAATCAACCAAATATGTGTCACTAACAGCTGGATTATCACAGTGTGATGGAATAAATTACATTAACTTCCCACTAAAAATGAATCACCACTGTATGAATATTGAACAGGAATTTGTTAAAAAAAAAAAAAAACAGGTCTATTAATAAAATGAATGAGAAGATTCTGCACTCATCTCCGATACAAGTGGCATCATGGCCTTCCTCATCTACCCGGGAGGAGCTTGGAGTAGAGCTGCTGCTCCATTACACACAGTCAGCTGAGGTGGCACAGACACGAGTGTATGGAAGATAATTTGTTCCATCAGATTTTGAATTATTGTGTTTGAATTATTTTTATTCTGAATTTTAGTTGCTGAAATTTTAAGTTTACATTTTAAATATTCAGCACAGATATTTTCAAGCCCTAAAATTCAACAGTCAAAATTCAGTGTAAAATTTTCAGTGACAAATTTTACAACCAAGACCCAAGATGCCAAGACAGAAGCAATCAATTCGGTTTTCTTCTGGCTGTTCTCATCTGTGGGTGGAGTTTGAGGTTTTGATGAGACTAATTCTGACCAATCAGATCACTTCACTGCACCATCTCCAGCTTGTTAGTAAGTTAGATTGAATCACTTTGGATCAATTGCTTCTGCCTTGGCATCTTGGATCTTTGGTGCAATTTTTTTCTTTCACTGCATATTTTACACTGTGAATTTTGACTGTTGAATTTGATGGCTTGAAAATATTTGGGCTGAATATTTAAAAGGTGATTTTATTTGTATTGTATTTTAAACAAAATATACACATTCATTAACTGACATTCAGAATAAAAACAATTCAAAAATGTTTTTTCTGAGTTAAAAAATGCAAAGTGAGAAATTCGAAGGCATTCCAAATTCAAAATCTGGTGAAATAAATTACCTTCTAGACGAGTGTGTCTGGAGGAGGGAACTGTGACCCTGCTTGGACAGTACTCCACATGACCCAGAGCAGAGATGGATCATTTTATCACTATATTTGCATTCTACTGAGTCACAGATTTAAAAAAAAAAAAAAAGAAAAAAGAAATACAGTTTGTATTTTTATCAAGAAAAATATTCACTGTTAATCAGTTGGTTTAAAACAGGGATGGGCAAATCTTTTTAATCTGGCCCATCTGAACTTGAACTATGATAATAATAATTGTCAGTGTTTTTCAGAGTCATTTCAATAAAATGACTTTGAAAGACAGATATTTTGTTGTAATGATTTTCAATTATGGGATATTTCAATAACATGGGATGTGTTTTCTATATATCCCATGTTATTTTTTTCTTTTATGAGGTGGATTACCAAAAAACTCCATCCATCTGCTCCTGGTCTGGCCCTTCCGTCAAATTTTAGAACCCTTTCTAGCCCACGAGTCAAAAAGTTTGCCCACCCCTGGTTTAAGCCATTGTCAGAAACTCAAACGTACCCATCCCAAGACTGAAATCATTTTGCACTTTTGATTTGTCCATAAAACTGTTTTCACCCCGGCTTCACCTAGAGCCCAGTGCTCCAGCTGATTTCTTTATTGTGCTTGGTTGTGACAGAGAGCGGAAAAGTAGAAAAAACAGTGGAAACATAAACACGGAGCTGTCCTGCTGTGCCGTGGCTCTTTAAAGCTCCTCTCTCCTCAGTGAAGTGAACCATTAGCCCATTCCTTCAGCTCTAATACTGGCCCTGTGCTCCAAGTCGCTGCACGCCTCGCACTATTCTATATGTGCCCTGTTTCAACTTGCTCTGCGTGCCTATGGACGCTCTGCAGCACATTCAAAAGGTTAGCTTCACACACAGCACACCTATGACACACACACACACACAGACGTATGCAACACATGGACAGTTAGCGCTCAAGGATATAGGGCGACATCAAAAACGCGCAATGAGGTGAAAAAAAGTAGCAAACTCTACAAACATGTTATATAAAAATAAGAAATGCCAGTAAAATGGCCCAGAAAACAAAAATAGCAAAAATATGATATTATAGCTTTATTTAGAAGTTTCAGCCTGACAGAGTTTGAACTGCAAGTATCATAACAACACTATTTTGATACAAATACCAATTCTCAGTGGTCCAGGTAGGTTCCATACTAGTCTATGTGCTCTTATACTTGGTCTGATACAGCTCAAAATTATTCTCAATGTATTCAGGAAAAGGTTAATTTTTGTCCTGTGAATGGAATTTTTTTAGTATCAATACTGGCTGCTAAATACAAAACTACGGAAAAATACAACCGTGACTTGATCCTTTTTCCTGAAATTGAGTAAAAAGTATTATCTAAGTATAAAAATAAACAAATCCCAAAAGTCAAACTAAATTCAAATAACAGAAACTAGTATAGTCAATAGGGATGTAACGATATCCAAAGCTCTCGGAACGATATTTTCACGATTTACAATTGACGAGATTTAATGCAAAAGAACTAAGATTTAAAAGTGCTTATTAGTTATTCCTTTGTGCAGTCTGCACTGAAACGACGCAAAGGATCATGATCTATGTAGTTTCCTCTTTTTTTTTTAGCTATTGCTGCACCATATCGGTTCATTTAAGTGAAGAGACTTATGAATCGATATAGTGTGCTGGTCTACAATATTACTGAGAGATTTTTGACAATAAGATATCACGATATTTCGGTTATTGTTGCATCTTTGTTTATAAGATAAAAATAAGCAAATCATTAAAAAGCTCCCAAAAGTTGAATTAAATTTAAATAACAGAAACTTATATAGTATAGTTAACAGGGATGTAACAATATCTAAATCTCTTAATTCGAAATGTTCAAAATATACATCTCACAGTACAATATTTATTGTGATATTTTATGGAGGCTAATAAAACTGAATATGTTACTTTTTGCTCTTAAAATTCCTTGACAAGACTTCAGAATCCAAAGAACTAAGATTTAAAAGTACTTAGAACAGTTATTTCTTCATCAAGGATCATAGTCTATGTAGTTCTGTTTTGTTTTAGCCATTACTGCACCAAAACTATTAATTTAAGTGAAGAGCCTTGTAATTTGATATATTGTGATGTCCCACGATATTATTGATTGTGAGACCTTTGACGATATGATATCACGATATTTCGGTTATTGTTACATCCCAAATAAGCAACTCATCAAAAAGCACCCAATTAATTGGATTAAATTTACAAAACAGAAATTTATAGTGATAATGAATGTCATTTCTGTACTTTTGTAATTTTACAATCCGTTCACTTTTAAAGCTGCACTATAACTTTCTGGTTGAGGGTCCATCATCTGCTTGTTTCTATGGAGATGTCATTTCTCTGCCTGCAATGTTCCACAGTATGACATTAAACAGCTCTGCCTTACATGTATTCAATTACAAGTGTTTTTTTTTTTACTCAAAATCTAATCTGGTTAATCAAGAAAAATAATTAAAATAAAGTAGAACTTAAAAAAACTACCTACAAATTACAATTCCAAAGTGGCAGTAATTCAAACAAGTCATGTCTCTGTAATAACAATATCATGACTCATAGAGGTATTCAAACTCCCACAGGACACTGTCCCACACTGGTTATGGCAGATTTGCATGTTACAAACCAACCAGATTAACCACAACAAACATTTCCACCGCAACAAACAGCAGCCTGTGTGTGTGTGTGTAAACAGTGCGAGAACAGAAGAAGAACAGCGGATCGGAGCTTTACAGGCCCGCGGGGTCGGAGAGCACGAGGGAAAGTCCCAGAGCCCAACAAAGAGCAGCATTTCTATTCCACTGTCATCAGTGAGCTTTAAGGGACAAAGACAACACTAATGACAAGCTTGGTTTTACTGTGGTCAATACACATCGAAAAGACAATATACTTCTTTACTTGACTTCTGTGGGGTTTTAACTGCTAACACATGACATATTTAGGTCAATATGTCATCCTTGATTGTTTTGAAAATGCTATATTCATTGAAAACAATGTATTAACATGTTTTAACAAGTTTTATAAGAAAAGACTCTGCTCCCTATGCTAAGTCACTTCCCCTTCAGAGCACTATCACAACACAATCAGTGTGCCTCCCACTGATTAAACTACAGCACATCAAATCAGGTTTGTGAAGTTGTAGTGTACAGTTCTGTATCATGTTTTTTATATTTTTTATAGAGAATTGTCATGTGGGAGCATGGGTGATGTAGGCTTGTGGGTGGAGCCTTGTACAGAATCTTAAAGATCACTGTAATGAGGGTTCAAACAGTGCCCAGGAGAGGTGCATGGATGACATCTAACACCTCTTCAGGCTTGTTTTACACATCGCTAACATGTGACTGGTTAAATCTACCTGTCAGTCACAGGGGATGACAGAGGCTGACCAATAGGAGGAGTGGGTGGGGAAAGGTGTGAGCATAGAACAGACCTGGGCATTGTCCAGCATACAGCCCTTTGGTTGAATCTGATAGCTAAAAGGGCCTAATTTGGAATTACAAAATAAACACATTTTATAATTTTACCTCATGCGTGGACTAAAGCTGCATTGCTTTTATTTTAGAGGCATTTTTGGTACGGCAACCTAGTCATAAACTCTTACCGGTCTTTCCAGCTCATCAAAACAATGCTATTTAATGCTTTTTTTAATAAAGAAATACAATTAATATTATGCAGAATTGAGTTAAGCATTTTGGCCCTCCACAATATTTTCTGTTTCTCATGTGGCCCCATGGAAAAAATAATTGCCCA